TGGCTCTCCCACGTGCCCCCCACGCCCCGGCTCTCCCAATGCCCCCCACGCCCCTGCCCCAGCTCTCCCAGTGCCCCCCACACCCCTGCTCTCCCAGTGGCCTCCACGCCCCTGCCCCGGCTCTCCCAATGCCCCCCACGCCCCTGCCCCGGCAGTGTGGATTTGGGCTCCACCATTCCTGATGTCCGGTGGGGAGCATGAGAAGCCCAGGGGCAGAAGGAGATGCCTGGCTGGCCCTGCCCCTCAGTGTCAGCCCCAGGGGCCCGTCTCCTCCAGCAGCACACTGACCCCTCACGGCCCCAGGCCGAGCTGGGCACAAGGGCAGGGCCCACCAACCCGGCCCATCCGGGCACGGGGCTTTACCCAGGGCCCCAGCCAGGCCCTGGCCTCACAGGTAGTTGCTGTCGACGCTGCCGGTCCCATTGCCCAGTTGGCTCTGGGCTCCGGGCGTCTCGTGCGCCGGGGTGGTCGTGGTGCTCCGCTTGGCGTGCAAGGAGGTGGCGGAGCAGCGGGAGGATCCAGTTGCCGGGGAACAGGGCTCGGGCCCCGCTCCGTGCCCCCCCCGGCAGCAGTGCCCCAGCCCCCTGCGGAAGGGGATGGTGAAGAGGCCGTAGGTGAGGGGGTCCAGGCAGGCGTTGAGGAGGCCGAAGATGAAGAGGACGTGGGTGAGGGACTGGGAGACGGTCTCCTCCATGGCGCGGGGGCAGAACCAGTACCACAGGCCCAGCAGGTAGTAGGGCGTCCAGCACACGACGAAGGAGCTGACGATGACCAGGCTCAGCTTCAGCACACGCAGCCGCGCCCGTGGGATGTTGCTGCTGGAGCGGCGCAGGGCCACCTCCTTGGAGACTAGAGCGACAGGGAGCAGGGTGTCAGGGCGGGGCGCAGCCCCCACACGCCACGTTAGCCATGGGGGGAGCTGGCAAAGCCCAGGGCCCCGCCCCCCGCGGCCCCACACCACTCAGCGTGCTAGCCGGTGGCATCTCCTGAGAGGGCCGTCCGTCCGCAGGGAGCCCCGGCCACGAGGGCCCAGCTGTGAGCCCCAGGGCCAGGCTCACTTCACCACCCCACACGGGGCAGCCGGCTCTCTGGGAAACCGGGCCCCACAGACGAGCCTCGGGGCAGGGACCTTGGGCCTGAGTCTGGAACTCAGGACCCGTCCAACCCTCAGCTTCCCCCCCAGGTCCCCCCAGGTCCCCCCAGCTTCTCCACAGCCCCATGTGTCCCTAGGCCCACCTCCCAGCCCCTCACAGCCTCCTGCAGCTAGCGCCAGCCCACTCACAGAGGCCGGTGCCCATGCGCCGGGAGATCTCCAGCAGGATGCGGGAGTAGCAGGAGACCATGATGAGCAGCGGCAGGAGGAAGAGGCAGGCGAAGCCCAGCATGTTGTAGGCCGTCTCGTGCCAGCGCCGGGGGAAACTGCCCCACGTGGTGCACTGGGTGAAGGTCTGCGGGGAGCGGATGGTGACTGTGTGGAACAGGAACAGCTGGAAGCAAAGCAGAGCGAGAGAGAGGGGAGCTGGACCCCGGCATGGGCCCGCGCCCGACCCAGCTGGGCCACGAGCGAGACAGGGAGCGGGCTCTGCCAGCCCCCCAACCCCTCCAGCACCCGGGGGAGGGCCAGCGCTTGGAACCACAGACGTTTGTGGGCCAAGCTAGCCTGCTGGAGACCTGGGCATCGGGGGACAAGAGGCTGTTCTAGCCCCCCCACACCCTGTGGGGTGAGCTGAGCCGCAGGGAGATGGGGGCGTCCGCCCTGCCCACCTGAGCTGCCAGGAATGGCTTTTTCATGAGGGAGCCCCCAGAGAGCCCCCCGCACACCACCTCTCCCCCCTCACGCCCCACCTCCCAACTCAGCCGCTGCTGCCCGACTCACAGCCCCAGCAGGCTCCTGCGAGCCCCCTTCAGCCAGTGGGGTGAGGAGCAGCGCAGTGTGAGGAGCCCCCTCCATGTGAGATGAGTTGGGGGGGCTCAGCGGCCCCCGTTCTGCACAGAGCTAACAGCACAAGATCCCCACCCATTGCTAACTGGCCCAGCAGTCTCTGCTCCGCTCGGGGGGCTTCGGCAGAACCGGGGCGGGAGCCCAGGGCTGGGACAGCAGGGGCTGTGGGACGGATACCTGTGGGGGGGAGAACGGGGCGGTACCTGCGGTGGGGAGGGGCAGTGGGTATCTCGGGGGTGGGGACCGGTGGGTATCTGGGGGGTGGGGACCAGCAGGTACCTGGGGTGGGACGGGCCGTGGATATCTGGGGGGTGGGGACCGGCGGGTACCTGGGGCACGGAGAGCCCAGCACTCAGTAGCCAGGCCGCATACAGCATGAGCCGGTTCCTCCTGTGGGCCTGGGCGATGGCCAGCGGGCGCAGGATGGCAGCCTGGCGGTCCAGGCTGATCACCACGGTGATGAAGGCCGAGGCGTACATGGCTAGCAGCTTGAGGTACATGAGGAGGCGGCAGGCCAGGTCCCCCGCCCGCCACTGCACCGTGATGTTCCAGACGGCGTCCAGCGGCATCACCACGAAAGTGACCAGCAGGTCGGCCGCCGCCAGGTGCAGCAGGAGCACGCGGACGTGCGAGAGCTTCCCACGCCGCCCGCCCGCGCCCGCCCACAGCACCGCCAGGTTGCCAGCGGCCGAGAGGGTGAGCAGCACGAAGGTGAGGATGACGCGGGCCTTGGCGGCGGGGGAGAAGGTGGGCAGCTGCAGGGCCCCCTCGCTCCCGTTGGGCCAGGGGCCCCACCCACAGCCGCCCTCGGAGGGCAGGAGGCTGCTGCAGGGTACCATGCCCGCTCCCTGGCTGACGTTCATCGCAGGGGCACGTGGGCCCAGCCGGCTTCCTCCTGCTGCAACAGACAGACAGACAGCGTCAGCACCCACTCCTGGGGAGTGTGATCCCCGAGGCTACTCCCCGCCACACAGAGCCCCCTGCCCATGGGCACAGGGGCCAGGCACATCCTTGGCACTGCACAGGGCACCTCCGTATGGGCTGAGCCCCGGGCAGAGACAGCCTGGCAGGGCCTGGGCATGGCAGGGCAGGGAAGCCTTGCGCGGCTGCATGAAGAGGTCCTGCTCGTACTGGTGCAGTCGGCCTGGAGCCGGGGGCAGCTGAGCTCAGCAGGAGGGGGAGCTGCAGGCCCAGGGGCTCCCACCGGAGCGAGAGGGGCAGCTCCCCCATGGGACCCCAGTCCCCAGCCTGGCAGTGGGCCTGGCCCGGCTCGGTGCTGCCACGCGCAGTCCCCTATTTGTGTGTCTGCTCCTCTTCTCGGAGCGGCCTCCTGAATGATCTGTGAGTGGCTGGCGCTGGGGGCCGGCCGGGGACATTTCCTGCCAGCCTCCAGAGCGCCCCAGCTGGGGAGCAGGAACCTGGAGGGGGCTGGGAGCTCAGATGGGGGGGGGGACACGCTGCCAGCCAAGGCCCCTGGCTGTGGAGCTCTCCCTGAAGATCCACCAGGCCCCCGGGAGGGCCAGGAACAGCTTCTCCTCCCTCCCCACTATCACCGACTTCCCTGGTCCTGCCTTTATGTGCAGCCCAGACGCCGCAGTGATGGGCTCCAGCTAACGATCAGAGGGGGGAGCGTGGAGCTGGCACCAGCGAGGGGAGGGCCAGGAGCTGTCCCACCTTCCAGAACACAGCCCACCTCACCCTCCCCGCCCTGCCGCAGCCAGAGAGCTGCTCCCACAGCAACCTTGGCCCAGCAGCTCCCTTAAACAGGGAACCCCCCATCCAGTCTCTGCTCTAGGGCAGCTCTCAGGAGGGGGCCCAGGCTGGCCCCCGAGGGGGGTGGAGGATAGTGGAGTCACCAGCAATCAGCCTCAGCTGAGCTAGGCAGGTGCTGCTCCTGCTCCCAGCCCCCGTGCCCCAGGCTGGCAACGGGCCTGGCGTGGTCCCAGGGGTCTGTGAGCCATATGCCAGGTCAGCGTCCGTGCCCTATGCCACACTCTCTGGGGCACAGGCACATCCTGCCCACAGCAATACCCGGGGAGGGGACCTCTCGACAGGAGCCGCGCTTTCGCTACCAGTGGGAGACGCTCCCGTGGCCAGTCCCACCCAGACACCCACTGAGGCAGTGGTGGGGCCGTGCAGCCCCCCACACCTAGCCTGCACCAATCCGCATCCCCCAGGCTTGTCCAGACCCCATGCAAGGGGACGCCTGCCCAGCCTACCCCTACCCCATGCATCCCTCCCTGCTGGGACAACAGCAGACAGCTCTCCAAGCCCCAGAGGACAAGGAGCAGGGCCCCAAGCCACCCGCCCGCCCTCCTCACCTCCAGCCACAAACTCCCACTCGCTGGGCGCCTGCCCTGCTCTGCGTGGGCTGGAGCTGGTGGTGCTGGTTCCCACTCGGTGTCCGGAGCCTCCTTCGGTATTAGCGGCAGCGAGCCGGCCGGTGGCCCACCTCCCAGGCAGCCTCTCCTCGCACTCCAGTCCCACCGGTCCCAGGGCTGCTGTCCCTCTGCCATCTGCCCCCACGTGACTCGCTGGGCGCTGACGCAGCTGATCGATGAGATGCCCTTGACAGCTCGTGTTGCTTCTTGATGTAATAAACTCGTGTTCAAAAGGCTTTGCTCCCCCATCCCCCATGTGGCACCCACACACAGTCTAACCCTGAGTCCCATGCAGTCACACCCGCACACACACGCACTCACAGGTGCACTCACGCACTCCCAGTCAGACGTGCACTAACACAGCATCACACACTCACACGTGCACTCATGCACAGACATGCATTAACCCTGAGTCCCATGCAGTCACACACACACCCACACACACACACTCATTCATGTGCACTAACACGGCATCACAGGCCCAGTCACACACTCACATCCACGCTCTCACACACACACGCACTCCCACCAAGAACTGCCATGAGTGCGGGGGTCTGTCCAGGCAGCCTCCCTTGCCGGACAGTGGGGCAGGCATGGGGCACACAACCCTGCCAAGCAGCCTGTCTCCCCTGGCTGGCTCCCCATCCCAAAGCACGATAGCCCTACCCCAGCTGGCCTCTCTCTCCAGCTCCTCCAGCCAAAGCCCTGGGCAGATGAGGGGCTGAAGCGCCCCCTGTCTGGGGATGTTTGGGCCCAGGTGCCAGGTACAGACCCTGCCCATGGGGACCAAGCGGACAGGACAGCCGGGGGCCCTGGCTGGGGTGCACCAGGTCCTTAGGGCTGTGGGGTGAGCTGTAGGCCTGCGCCCGGGATTCCCCTCTGGCTGGGCTGTCTCCCCACCCAGCAGCACCAGGGTTGTCTCTGGTGCTGGTGGAACCTGGCACTGGGGTGGAGCAGCCCAGGGGCTGCTGGCAAATTGGCAGGGCCTCTGCGGCCCAGCGCAGCCTGGCCCCTTTCAGCAGGAGCCTCTGACCGGACGCCGTGGCTGGTCTGTTGAGCTCTCTGTGGCGCAGGGCTAGACGCCCAACAGCAATTCTTTGGCCTCCGGAGGCTGCCTGGACCGCCCCCCCCCCCCCCATCGCTGCCAGACTCACAGATCTGCGCCCAGTGCTCCCCTGGCAGTAGGGTGACCAGACGTCCCGATTTGATAGGGACAGTCCCGATTTTTGGGTCTATTGCTTATACAGGCTCCTATCACGCCCCCCGGGCTGAGATAGATGTGCTAAGGCTCAGAGAGGTGGAGTTGTTTAACCCCCACGAGAGTGGCCCCCCGAGAAGGGCTGTCTCACCCCCGACGGACTGCACGAGGCCAAGAGCGGGCACGACCTGTGAGTGCATGACAGGCCACTGGCCGTTGAACCCGGGCCAAGGGGGACCCGATGGTGCCCAGAGGAGCACAGGCCTGGGGGGCAGCGCGGCCCGTGCTGAGATAGGCCTTGGCACAACAGGGGTGTTTTGCATCTCAAAGGCCATGTCCCCGGCAGAAGGAATTAATGTTATTAGCAAGTCAGTTCACAGCTAAGTGGAGCTCATTAGCTGCCCAGCCCCTGCCCCAGAGCCTGGGGAGGGGGAGGAGATGGAGCCTCCTCTGGTCTATTAGCATCTCCCTGTCAATCCTCATTAGCACCAGCCCTGTAATGGGCTCTCCCAGCCACCCCAGGACAGGCCCCCAGGAGCGGAGCCGCCCCACGGCCACCCCCATGCTGGGAGCCAGGGTCAGGAGCCAGCGCAGGCCGGGTCCTAACAGAGCCGAGCCCTGGACCCAACCCCCACAGGCCCCGCTCTGCCCCACATCCCCCTTCCTGAGCACAGAGCTCCCCGCCACCCCCGCGATGCCCCCACGCCGGAGCCAGGCCCTGGGGAGAGTCTGGGCTCTCAGGAAAGCAGCCCCTGGGCTCTGACCCTGTTACCTGCCGAGAGCCATGGGCTGGGATTCGCCCAGCCCCTTACGCCAGCTGCCCCACTGCCTGCAGGGGGCGGGGCTCCCCAGAGAACAGCTGTGATCACTTTCCCCAATTTCCTCCCACCCACCCCACAGGCTGCTGCCTCCTGCACTGGGAGGTTTCACACCCTGCCCCAGCAGCTAGCCCGCCTTCCCTGCCAGGGCATTGGAGGGTGCTCCGAACTGGGACCCCGCTCTGCCCAGGGTCCGGGTGTCATGGGACCCCCATCTATTTATCTGGGGCTGAATCCTGAGCCTCTTCTGTCATGTTCATCCCTCCCCCGCGAGCTGGGCCTGCGACAGCCCTTTTCCTACAGGGGTCAGAGCTGTGAGATAAACGGGCACAGAACCGCAGAGTCGCCCTTGATATCATGTGTAACTACCACCCCACCGTCTATCCCAAAGGGCTTGCCAGCCCATACACTGGGATCACTCACCCCCTGTGGAAATGCAGCCACCTCTGGGGTGGGATGCGGCAGCAAAATGACACAGCCTGTTAGAACAGGAAGCTCAGAAGCATCCTGCATTCAATGGACTCTAGTGAGGGAAATGAGCCACACAGGAACAGGGGCAGGACACGGGCTGAGCTCACCCACCCCAGGGGATCTTTAATGAGCCCCGGTAGCCAGGCCATGTGCTGGGGGCACCCAGCCCCGGGGAAGGCAGGACAGCCGCCGCACAGGGGTGCCTCACGCCCCTTGCAGAGCTGGGATTGTGGGGGCCGTGCCGAACAATCCCAGGCCGGTGAATGCAGGAGAGGGCAGAGGAGAGCAGGGGCCCCATCCCCCCCCAACCAGGGCAGTGGCCTCCCCGGCTCCTCAAGACAGCTGAGGCAGGGCTCCTCGTGGGCCTCACATACGGCAGGTTCGAGCTTCCCAGCATGGTGGGTCCCCGGCCCAGTGCGCCCTGCCAGTCCCATGGGGTCACAGGGATGTGAGGGAGGAAGGGAACCGTGGGTCCTCCCCCGCCACCACAGGAGGGCCCCCGCACAATCCCTCCTGCAGGCAAAGGGCTCACGTGGCATCTTCCCCAAGTGGGACCGAGGGAGACAGAGGCCCAGAGGCCGGGCAAAGGGAGCTCCCAACAAGCCCCCACACCAAAGCGATGTCCCCCACCCAGGGGCTTATCATGGATCCCACCGCTGGGGCGTGAGCTCAGTGGCCAAGCCAGGAATAGAACCCAGGAGTCCGGGCTCCCAGCCCAGTGCCCTAACAGCAGGGCAGCTCCTCCCAAGCGGCAGGTCCATTCCTGGCTAGGAGGCCGAAGCGGAGACGCCAGCTGATCCATCATAGCTCCCCCTTCCCTCCCCGCGCTCCCCCGGACCCCATGGCAGAAAGAGGCAGGAGATCACAGACATGGGTTTATTCATTCACAGCATCGCATCAGCTTTCAAAGCTCTTCAGCTATTGTCCCCTGGCCTGGAAATAACTCGATAAATACCCTCCCACCCCTCCATAACTCGATAAATACCCTCCCACCCATGCATGTGCCCCACGCCTGCATGTCCCCAGCGTGCCCCACGCCTGCATGGCCACGCACAGCTGCATTGTCCCCAGAAGGCGGCACGTGATCCAAGGCAGAGTCGTCAGCCAGCAACAGCGACAGCGTTCCTCGCATTCCTCTCGTGCGTGGCCCTCTCCAGCCGGGCTGCCTGGGCTCATGAGGACACGTTCTGCCACCAGCTGCTTCTCAGGCTTGTCCCCTGGCTGGGCAGTGGCCCATCAGTCCTGGGGAAGCAGGGCCTCCAGGAGGGAGAATAGCTCGCCGGAGAGATCCTGCAGAGAGGAGCACAGGGATCAGTGGAGCAACACAAGGCCAGACTCCCTGGGCACTGACTCCAGGAGCCGGACGGAGTGGGGGCCCTCTGAGTGGGACCCACAAACTGTCCCTGGAGGGCACAGACAGGAGCAGGGCCAGCGAGCCCCTGGAGCGAGGGCACTGAGTCATTCGCGCTGCCCTCTCAGCCGACGCTGACGCCCACAAGGGCCAGGAAAGGGGGGTGTCTGTGGTCAGAGCCTCTCCGGGCTCTGCTGTGCTGATCGGCCGAGTAGCCCTGAGCACGTCACTCCCAGCTCTCCATGCCTCAGCATCCACCCTGGAAAACCCTTCCCCCCGGCAGTGCATGCTGCCCTCCTCGCAGGACCCGGCCCACGGGCCATTACAAGCGGCCAGGAATTTGGGGGGTACTGAATTCGCACCACGGGGGGTTACTCTGGCAGGTAACTCAGGACACAGCCTAGGCTGAGGGGGGGCAGAGAGCGAACATACCTGGGAGGACAGACCCATGTCTGCAAACTCAGCTGGCAGCAGCATCGGCCCCACATCCAGGATTCGTGCCCTGTGCGGCTCGGGGGGTGTCCCTGGGGCAGGGCAGTAAGGGGGCGAAAGCCAAGAGGCTGTGTCTGTGCTGAGTGCCCTGTGCGGCTCGGGGGGTGTCCCTGCGGCAGGGCAGCAGGTGGACGACACCCAGGACTCTGCGGCCGGGGGGGACCCCTCCCACGGGGCTGGAGATGCTGCCTGGAGGCCAGGGGTCCTGGCCTGGCAGCAACCCAGCCCCTCGGGGCAGAGGGGGCAGTGCCGGCGTGGGCCCCCTCTCCTCTGGGCCAGCGTCTCCTCGTTGAGCCCCAGCAGCTCCGACAGGTGGGAGATGTAGCGGATGGCGAGGCGCAGGGTCTCGATCTTGGTCAGGCTCTGGCCGGCCGGTGCCACCGAGGGGGGCAGGTAGCGTCGCAGGGTGTGGAGAGCCTTGGACAGGTTCCTCATGCGCAGCTTCTCCCGCTCGCTGGCGCTCTGCCTCTGCTCGCCGCCTGCCCTTCCCCGGCTGCCCTTCCTGCTCCCGTAGGCTGGGCACAGGCCAGCCCTGCGTCTTGGCGTCAGCACCAGGCTCGGGGCTGCAGAGCAGCTGCTGCAGGGCTCCTGGGGAGCTGGGCAGAGGGGGTAGAGGGGCGAGAGGCCGCAGGAGTCGGTGGAGGGCGTTGGGGAGCAGCTGCTGTACCCCTCCATGCTGGGCTGGGCCCTGCCCCACTCCTGCAGCAGGGCCTGGCCTGGGGGCAGCAGGAGATCCGGGGCTAGGAGCTGGGCAGGAGAGCTGGCCATGGCGTCAGGGCTTCCCAGGCTGCGTGTGGGGAGAGCGTCGCAGCCCCGGGCTTTATGCTGAGGCCGGAGGTGTGAAGTGGCACCTTCACAGGGACCATCAGCACATCAAAGCCCTGGGGGGCTGGAGGGCCTGGGGGAGAGAGCTCCTTTGAACAGGCTGGTGTTGAATTTTACCCCAGCTCGGGTGGAGCTGTGTGACAGGTCACTGACCCCACGGAGCCCCAGCTGCCGGCCTGCGACGGAGCCTACCCAGGTGTCCCATGCCCAGCGGGCTGGCGAGGGCACAGAGTGGCTCTGTGTGTCTGGGCTGGACCCCCACCCGCTCAGAGGGGGCAGCTTGCACCCCACTGCCAAGGGCAGGATGAAGCCATATGCAGGAGGGCGTCCCGGCAGCTGTGTGTATGTGTTCCTAGGGGCAGTGCCAGCAGCCCATGTTACACGGTGGGGGACAGAGGTCCAAAGCCACACAGGGAGGAAAAGAACCCAGGAGTCCGGGCTGCATGCCCGGGTGCTAAGCATTATCCCACACTACTCAAACCTGGCCGGGCCCTGCCCTGAGTGATGGGGCAGGAGACTCGTCCTCACTCAGTGTGGGCTAGGGGCAGGGCTTGGGCCGGGGGGCGCAGGGGGCAGGTGCCTCCTAGAGCGGGACCCGAACCAAACCCCATCCCCCGGGGATGCTGGAGCGTCGGGCCCAACCCCAACTCCGGGCCCTGATTTCCCAGCCGGTTCCCGAGCCCAAGCCGCGACGTTCTGGGGAGGGGCCCAGCAACCCAGGGACGTGCCCCTGCCCGGGCCTGGGCAGGGGCCCTGCAGGCTGCCAGCAGGCGCTGGGCACCCCGGGCCAAGGGGGCGGGAGACAGCGAGGGAGCCGGAGCAGCCTGCCCCTCCCAGCCCAGGCTAATGGCATTTCACACCCTGCCACTAATGAGCCCAGCAGCCACTCTCACATCCAGGCCATGGCTCAGGGGCTCTGCCCCCCACCTGGGCCTGCTGGCTGCAGGGGGCCAGGAAGGAGGGTCTGTCTGCCTGTCTGTCTGTCTGTCTGCTGCTGCCCATCAGCATGTGGGGGGGGGCATGGGGGTGAGAGGCTCTTTGCTGGGGTAGCTGCCATGGGGAGGGGCAGACCCAGCTCCCCAGGGCTGGGAACGTGGGGGCACCTCTCCACCAAGCACCTGCCCCACCGAGGGGCTCGTTGTGCCCAGGGGGCAGCCACCAGACAGCAGGGCTGGAAGGATCCCGGAGCCCCCCACTCCGGGGGCAGCGTGGGCTCGACCCAGCAGTTCGGAGACGCTGCCCCAGATCCTGTGGCCGTCCCAGGCAGACAGATCAGCTGCGGGGACCCTGTGCCCAGGGATCTGGAGCACTTGTGAAGCAAGAATATTAAACCCCCCCTGCCCACCCCCGCCGGACACTGGTTCCAGGGGGGCGGGAGGGGCTCGGCGGGGAAGGGGGCAAAGCAGTGCATTGTGGGAGGGTGGCAAGAGGGAAACAAGGTGCCCCCGGCAGCCCAGCCCGGTGCACAGGCCCCCAGATAAACACCCAGGGGGGAGCCCCGGGGTCACAGCCAGGCCCTCCAGCGGTCAGAGCCTCTAGCCATGGGGCTCCCAGCCCTTCCCGGGGATGATGCCCCTGCCAGCGTCTCTCCCCAGAAGGACGGGCACCCGACAGGCCAACGCGCCAGCTGGGGGGCAGGGGCTGAGGTTGGCACAATTTCTCCTTGCTCAGTTTCCCTCCCTTGGAGCAGACTGGCCAGCCCTGGCACTCACACCCCCAGCCCCCTTGGCACAGAGATGTGATGAGCAGGGCAGCTGGGCAGTTCGGCCTGGGACTGGGAGCCAGGACTCCTGGGTTCCTCTCCTAGCTCTGCCACTAACTCACTGAGCACAGCACGTCCCTGCTCTGGGCCTCAGTTTCCCCATATGTGACATGGCGCTAGATTGTAAGCTCCTCAGGGTGGGGGCTGTGTCTCCCTTAGGGTGTCTGTCAGCACCCGGCACAGTGGGGCCCTGGTCCCTGACTGGGGCCCCCCAGAGTTACCATAGGACAAACCCCAGCCTGGGTGGGGGGCTGGACACTCAGGCTGGGCTACGCCAGGATTTCCCCAACCAGTTTGGGCCCCTCGCTCATAATGAGAAGTCCAGACCCAAGGCAGTGTCACGGGTGGAACCACAGCCCCCTCCACACACACACCCCCGTCCCCCTGGAGCCAGCACGTTCTCACTACGGGGCGGGGGGGAGGGAGGGTGTGAAGAGCTGGGAGGGACCCCCGGGCTGCGTTCCCAGGCCCAATGCAGCTGGCACTTGACACGGCTGGTGTAAAGGTTACCAGGGAAACCCAGTGCTGCAATTCTGGAAAAGAAAACAGAAGGGGGAGAGGCTCTCAAGGGAATGTGGCGTGAGACGTGCTTCCAAAATACAGGGCCCCCACACTGGTACTGGTGTGTACACAGACACACACACACCCTGCACTATTGCAGGTGTGTGCACAGGCACCCGCCGCACTGACACAGATGTCAGAGTAGCAGCCGTGTTAGTCTGTATCCGCAAAAAGAACAGGAGTACTTGTGGCACCTTAGAGACTAACACATTTATTAGAGCATAAGCTTTCGTGGGCTACAGCCCACTTCTTCAGATGCATATAGAATGGAACATATA